AATTTTCTGCCTGCTGGATCTGTTCATTTCTGATAGAAGAATGTCGAAGTCTCTCACTATAATAGTGGATTCATCTGTTTCTCCTTTCTAATTGTCTCAGTTTTGCCTCAGGTATGCTGTGTTTAGGCACATGCAGATTAAGGATTGTTATGCCTTTTTGTAAAATTGTCCTTTTATCATTTTGTAATGCCCCTCTTTGTCCCTGATTATTTTCTTTGCACTGAAGTCTGCTGTATCTGAAATACAGCTTCCAGCTTCAGTTGCTTTTTATTTTTATTTTTTGATCAGTGTTAGCATGGTATATCTTCACTTAAAAAAATTTTTTTTTAATGTGTGCCACAGAAGAATGAATTTTTAATTGAAAATTCACATATAATAAAATCACCCTTTTAAAGTGTCAATTCAGTGAAAAATATTTTAAAACAAAAACGATAACTCGGTTTATCAACACCTTTTCATGTTGCTGTGTTCTACAATATCAGTTTTAATGCTTTCATAGTATTCCATTGATTGTATTACAATATTTTATTTAGTTAATACCACTTCTTAAGACATTTAGGATATATCATGTTTTTGCTATTATATACAATATTTAGTGAATGCCTGTGTAACATTATTTTTTTCACATCTATTGTTACTTCTTTTATTTTACATTTTTATTGCAGTATAACTGATGTGTAACAAATTCAAGTGTACAACATAATGATCCAATATTTGTACATATTGCAAAACTATCACCACAAAAAGTTTAGTTAACATCTGTCACCATATATAGTTACAAAATTATTTTTTCTTGTGATGAGAACTTTAAAGATCTACTCTCTTAAAAGCTTTCAGATATGCAATACTGCATTATTAACTATAGTCAGCATGTTATATATTACTTCCCCTTGACTTATGTATTTTATATCTGGAAATTGTACCCTTGGACTCCCTTCACCCAATTGGCCTACTACCCACCCCTACCTTTGGCAACTACAATCTGTTTTTGGTATCTATGAGCTTATTTTTGTTTGTTTGTTTGTTTTAAATTTCACAATAAGTGAGATCATATGGTATTTGTCTTTCTCTGTCCAACTTATTTCACTTAGCATAATCCCTTAAAAGTCCATATATATTGTCACAAATGGCAAGATTTCATTCTTTTTTATGGCCAAATAGTATTCCTCTGTGTGTGTGTGTGTGTGTGTGTGAGCGAGAGACATTTTTCTTTATCCATTAATTTGTTAGTTTGCATGTCTTGGCTATTGTAAATAATACTGCAGTTAACATGAGGTTGCATATATCTTTTTAATTTAGTTTTTTTTTTTTTAAGATAAATACCCAGAAGTAGAATTGCTGGATCATATGGTTCTATTTTTAATTTTGCGAGGAATTACCATAGATTTTTTTTTTTTAATAGTGGTTCACCTTTTACTTTCCCACCAACAGTGCACGGTGGCTCCTTTTTCTCTACATTCTCGGCAACACTTGTTATTTCTTGTCTTTTTGACACTAGCCTTTCCAATAGGTATGAGATGATATCTCACTGTGGTTTCGATTTGCATTTCCATGATAATTAGTGATGTTCAGCATCACTTCATGGCTGTATGTCTTCTTTGGGAAAATGTCTATTCAGATTTTCTGCCTGTTTTTTTTTAAATTGGAATGTTTGTTTTGCTATTGAATTGTATGAATTCTTTATATATTTTGGATACTAGTCCCTTATCAGATAAATGATTTGCAAATGTTTTCTCCCATCCAGTATGTTGCATTTTAATTTTCTTGTTTCCTTTGCTGTGCAGAAGCTTTTTAGTTTGATGTATTTCCACTTGTTTAATTTTTACTTTTGTTGGCCTTTGGTTTTGGTGTCAGATCCAAGTATCATCACCAAGGAGTTGTAAGGGAGCTTTCTGTCTCTATTTTAGCGATTTTATGGTTTCAGGTCTAACAATCAAGTCTTAATCTATTTTGAATTAATTTGATGGGGGCATGGTGTAAGATAGTGGTTCATGTTGTTTTTTTGCATGTGTCTGTTCAGTTTTCCCAACATCACTTATTGAATAGACTATCCTTTCTCCATTGCACATTCTTGGATTCTTTGTTATAAATCATTTGACCATATATGCACGGGTGTATTTCTAGGCTATCTTTTCTGTCCCATTGATCTATGTCTTTGTTTTCATGCCAAAGCCGTACTGTTTTGATTACTGTAGCTTCCTAATACAGTTTAAAATCAGGAAGCGTGATGCCTCCAGCTTTGTTCTTTCTCAGGATTGCCTTGGCTATATAGGATCTTTTGTGCCTCCATATAAATATTAGGATTGTTTATTCTATTTCTGTGAAAAATTCAATTGGAATTTTTGATAGAGATTGCATTGAATCTGTAGAATGCTGTGAGTAGTATGGATATTTTAATAAATTCTCCCAATCCCTGGTCACAGATTATATTTTCATTTATTTGTGTCCTGTTCAATTTTCTGCATAATGTCTTACAGTTTTTAGTGTACAAGGATTTTACCTCCTTGGTTAAAAATATTCCTGGGTATTTTTTTGATACAATTTTAAGTGAGATTGTTTTCTTAATTTCCCTTTCTGATAGTTATTAGAGTATTGAAATACAACAGATTTTTCTATATTGATTTTATAACTTTACCAAATTCATTTGTTTTAACAGTATTTTGGTGGATCTTTTAGGTTTTCTATTTATAATATTATGTCATCTGCAAAAGGTGACAGTTTTACTTCTCCCTTTTCTATTTGGATGCCTTTTATTTCTTTTTCTTGCCTAATTAATCTGGCTAGGACTTCAGTACTATGCTGAATCAAAGTGGTGAGAGTGGGCATTCTTGCTTTGTTTCCGGTATTAGCGAAGTTTTCAGCTTTTCACCATTGAATATGATGTTAGCTATGGACTTGTCATATATGGTTTTTTTTTTTTGTTGAGGTGTTCTATATCTACTTTTTTGAGAGTTTATCATTATTATAAGTTGATGTAGAATTTGTCAAGTGTTTTTTCTGCATCTAATGAGATGATCATATGACTTTTATCTTTCATTTTGTTAATGTGATATATCACTTTGATTGATTTTTGGATATTGAAACACTCCTGCATCCATAGAGTAAATCATACTTGACCATGGTATATGATCATTTCTATTATAAATAGAAAACCATGGTCTTGTTCAATTTGGTTTGCTAATATTTTGTTGAGGATTTTTACATCTATGTTCATGAGGAATTGACCTTTAATTTTATTTTCATGAAGTGTCCTTATCTGGTTTTGATATCAGAATAATGCTGGCCTCGTAAAATGAGTTTGGAAGTGTTCCTCCTTCTTTTATTTTTTTGGAGAGTTTGAGAAGAATTAGTATTAATTCTTCTTTAAATGTTCCTTAGAATTTGCTTTCATAACTTTACTTTTAATCTATACATGTCTTTATATTTAGAATGGGTTTCCTGTAGAGAATATATAGTTGAGAAATGGGATATCTACTGTTTCCCGTCGATGTGTTTTGGGCATTCAAAGGTTTTGTTACAAGTTAATGAGCTAAAATTCTTTATCTTTTTGTTAATAATAGTGCATTTAGGTTGGATCACTTGTAACAATTGTATCACACTAATGCAATATGTTAATAGGGGAAACTATGTGAAGTGGGGTGTGAGGGAATATATGGGAACTCTGTGTACTTTCCACTCAATTTTTCTGTAGACTTAAAACAGTGACTATTAATTAAAAAAAAATCACTTGGCCGTAAAAATAGAAAGGAAAAAAACATTTTTGATATATGACTCTCACTTTGCAGATTTCTCACAGATTTGTCATTGACTTCAAAAATTAGATTCTATAGCTGAAGCTTTTGATCACCCTATTGTCTGTCTTGAATCATTTTTATTTATGCCCTAGAAATGGTCTCTCATAAGTCCTTGTTATAAACTGGTGTTAGCCTATACTTAGGCCACATTAGAAAAGTAGGTGTTCGAAAGGAAAGGCTGAAGAAAGACTTCCTAATATTTCTAAATTGGGAGTCCAAATGATGGACTCATTGTAGACGTTGCCCTTCCTTTCAGTAACTATAGTGCTTGATGAGTTTGTAAGGGTTTATCCATATCTATTTATTCCATACCTTGCTCTTTAAATTTGGGAGACCAGTTTACCTGTGGTTTAGGCTAGACTTTCTCAAGATATCCATGAATTACCTAGGCACATGTAAATTACAAATTCTTTGGCCAGCAGCCCAGAGACTCAGATAATGATGATATGGGGCCCAGGAAATTTGCCTTTTGATATTTAGAGTTTGAGGACTATAGTTTTAGGCTTTGGTCGGGATATAAAAAGTCATTAACCTTTTTAAAGAGAGCAAGGGTTTATTTGGATTTTCATATTTATTCTCATTTGGATTATGCTGGCCCAGTTTGCCCCCACATACTAGAAATAGATTCCTCCAATGGGTAAGGTGGTTAATCTTACAATATATCCTCAGATAGACCACTTGAATTTAATAAATACAACATTTGAAACCCTGTATTGTATCTTAATTTCATTTAGTTGCTTTTTCAGCCTCTCGCACACCCAAAAAATGATCACTTTCCTGACTTGGGAGTTCATCCAGTATATTTCTTTATCTGATAGTATCTTTTAAGCAAAATTATTATGCAAGGTATGTTGAGATACTTTTTTCTTTGTTTTAATTGCCTTGCCAAGAGATGATGTTTTTAATCTCAACTATTTCACTGAATTCCATTTTCTTTATGTATTTCAGGAAAAAAAAGTTTTTCTTCCCCTTACTGATTAGTTCATTGATGAGAGCAATGATACAGTTTTTGAGTTATAGTTCTATAAATGCTAGTCATTTAATATGCTTTGGTATAGGAGGTTTAATGAGAATTAGATTTTTAAAAACTTTTAACTTTTCAACCCATTTTTATTCTTACTATCTATTAGCACATATTTTTATTTTCATATAGATTTATTTTTGGAAGTTGAAAAAAATTTTGAAAGTAATTTACTTTTTTTCTAGATGTTTCATGGAACTGTCACAAAAGAGCTAACCAGTCATGAAGAGTGGAGTCACTATAATGAAAACATAATAGAAGATCAGAAAGATTTTGTTTTTATGAAGTTCAGTGGTCTTCATTTAAAATCTATGGAAAATTTGCGATCTTGTATCTCTCTTAGAGTATGCATCTTCTCAAACAATTTTATTACAGATATTAGTCCACTTCAAAGTTGTATAAAATTAGTCAAACTTGATCTCCATGGAAATCAGGTAAGCAATAGTCATTTTAAATATTTGCATATAAATTAAATTATACATAATAAGCATTTGTTTTTTCTATCTACAGTATTTTTCCCAGGTGGTCTTTTATATAAAATATAAGCAAACATTTAAAATTAAATAAAAAATATAAAATGTATAAATACAAAATTTAAAATATAAGCAAAAAATTTAAATTAAAAACATATAAATAAGCAGTGTGTGATTTGGTTTTACTTCTTAAATCCATAGTCTGGATTAGGAATACTTCTTGACTCCTTAATTATTTTTTTTAATGCTGTATAATTAATTGACATATAATGTTATATTAATTTCATGTGTACCACATAATGCTTCGATATTTGTGCATATTGTGAACTGATCACCACAATATTCCACTTAACATTTATCACTACACAATTACAAAGCAGATACATGATTTGCAAATATTTCCTTCCATTTTGTCAGTTGCCATTTCTTTTTGTCAGTTGCCATTTCATTTTGCTTTGCAGATGCTTTTTATTTTAACGTAGTCCTACTTGTTTGATTGTTTTTCTTTTATCAGATTTGAAAGAAATATCACCAAGATCTATGTCGAGGAGCTCACTGCCTATGTTTTTTTCTAGAATTTTTATGGTTCTAGGTCTTACCTTCAAGTCTTTAATCCTTTTTGAGTTAATTTTTATATATGGTGTAAGATAGTGATCCAATTTCATTCTTTGGCATGTGTTTGTCTAGTTTTCCCAGCATCATTTATTGAAGAGATTGTTCTTATTTTGTATATTCTTGGCTACTTTGTTGTAAATTAATTGCCAATATATGTGTGCATTTATTTCTGAGATTTCTATTCTGTTTTATTGAGCTATTTTTTTTTTAAATACTAGTACCATACTGTTTGATTACTATAGCTTTGTAATATAGTTCAAAATCAGAGAGCATGATGCCTCTAGCTTTGTTCTTTTCTCTCAAAATCACTTTAACTATTCAGAGTCTTTTGTAGATCCATGTAAATTTTAAGATTCTTTGTTCTATTTCTGTGAAAAAATGCCAATGGAATTTTTGATAGGGATTGCATTGAATCTGTAGAATGCTTTGGGCAATGTGGACATTTTTTAACAGTATTCATTGTTGCAATCCATGGGCAAGGACTATATTTCCGTTTATTTGTGTCTTCTTCAATTTCTTTAATGATGTCTTATTTTCAGTGTATAGGTATTTCACCAATATGGTATATAACATTGTTTGATATGAATTTTTAATTCTGTATCTAAGGAAAGTATTTTAGAAAAGTTTAAAGAGTCAGCCTATTATAAAAGAATTTTTACTGAACAAAGTATATATGTTTATTCATTTAATTACACTAATAATGATAGCTTATGCCAGACATCCAGTGTATTATATTTTTATGCCAGCTATCATTCAGTTAATTAGATATTCTGGTTTTATTTGTTAATGAGAAATTTTCCATTTGGGAAAATACTAAATTTTAGAAGATATTTAATAGATTTTATTTTCCATGTAATTTGGAGAAATTTTACTTTTGTATTGAAAGTATTATTATTAATAATATTTTAGGTAAAGAGTCTACCAGATACCAAATTTTGGAGTGGATTGAAGAAACTAAAACTCCTCTATCTTCATGACAATGGGTTTGCGAAGTTAAAGAATATATGTATGTTATCTGCCTGTCCAAGCCTCATTGCCCTCACTATGTTTGATTGTCCAGTAAGCCTTAAAAAAGGATATAGACATGTTGTTGTCAATAGTATATGGACTCTCAAAGCGCTGGATCATCATGTGATTTCTGATGAAGAAATAATTCAGAACTGGCATCTTCCTGAAAGATTCAAAACCTATAACCACAGGCTTTTCTTTAATTTTTGCTCTGCTTTGAAAAAGGTAAATGTTTTCATTAGGACTTGTTTTGAATACATTTATAGAACTGTAGAGAAAATTTAATCCTAAAGTTCATACCTAAATTATATAAAACTAATATTTTGTATCATCGATGTAAAATACCATATACTAGTGAATACATTAGTAATGTGTTAGATCTGAAATTTATAAGAGGAGTATATGTTTACTGCATAAAATATATTGAATAGAAAAGTATCAAATTGTAGAGAAATATATATATTTGATTTCTGCTGTAATAGCTTTAAGGAAATATAGCTTACATATTGTAAAATTCCCCTATTTCACGTGTATGAATCAATGGTTTTAGTAAATTAACAGTGGTGCATAACCATCTCCAAAATCCAATGTTAGAAGTTTCCACCACTCCAAAAGTTTCTCTCCTTCCCATTTGCAGTTAATCTCCACTGCTATCCCCAGTCCTAGGTAACCATTGTTCTCTTTTCTGTCTCCATAAATTTGCTTTTCTAAACATTATATAAAGGAACCATACAATATGTAGTCTTTTGCATCTGCCTTCTTTCTCTTAGTGTGATGTGTTTGAGGCTCATTCATGTTGTAGCATGAATCATTAGTTCTTTTTGACTGCTAAGTAATATTTTATTATATGAAACATATGTATTTTCATTGTCCATTCAGCAATTGATGGACATTTGGATTATTTGCAGTTTTTACTATTATAAATAATGCTGCTATGAACACTTACTTATGTAGACATAAGTTTTCATTTTTCTTGGGTAGATTCTCAGGAGTACAGTTGCTGAGATGTATGGCAAGTTTATGTTTAACTTGTTAAGAGACTGAAGTGCTTTCTAAGGAGTAGAAACCACCAGTACAAAAGGGTTCTAGTTTCTTTATGTTTTTGCAAACTCTTAGTATTTTCTGTCCTTTGCGCTATAAACATTCTAGTAGGTGTGAAGTTGATTTTATTTATGGTTTTAATTTTTATTTCCCAATGAGTAACGATAAGCATTTCTTTTTCATCTCTTATTAACTATTCATGTATCTTCTTTGGTGAAATGTCTATACAGATTTTTTCACCCATTTTTAAAGTGGGTTGTTTGTCTTATTGAATTGTAAGAGTAGATATTTGGATATAAATCCTTTATCAGATATATGAATCACAAATATTTCCTCCCAACTTGTAGCTTGTCTTTTCATTTTCTTAATGTTGTCTTTTGAAGCAGAAAAATTTAGAGTTTTATAAAGTCCAATTTTATGAATTTTTTTATAATGGATTTTTTATATGGATCATGCTTTTGGTGTTGTATCTAAAAATTATGCTTAATTCTGGGTCACAGGATTTTTCTCCTATATTTTCTTCTTGAAGTTTAACAATAATAGTTAGGAAATTTAGATCTGAGTTTTATCTTGAATAGATTTTAATGCGTGGTATGAAGTAATAAGGGTCTTTGTTAATTTTTTATATCCATGATATCAGCACCATTTGCTGAAAAGATTATTTTTTTCCCTAGTGAATTGTCTTAATATCTTTGTCAAAAATCAGTTTGGTCATAAATGTAAGAGTTTATTTCTGGAGTCTCAATCATATTTCAGTGGTCTTTCTATCTATATTTATGCCATTACCATACAGTCTCCATTACTGTAACTTTGTAGTTAAGTTTCAAAATGGGAAATGGGGAAGTCTGAATCTTTCAACTTTGCTTTTCTTTTTTTTTTTCAATATTACTTTGGTTATTCAGGGTTTCTTGCATTTACAAATGAATTTTAGGATCAGCTTGACAGTTTCAACAATGATTCCTGTTGGGATAGTGATAAGGATTCCGCTGTATTTATAGATCAATTTGTAGAGAATTATCATCTTTGCAGTAGTGAGTATTCACCAATGTGAACTGTCTCTCAATTTATTTAGATGTTCTTTAATTGTCTCAATAATGCTTTGTAGTTTTCATTGTACAAGTCTCCCACTTATTTTGTTAAAATTTATTTTTAGGTATTTTATTTATTTTGATATTATGAATGGAATCATTTCCTTAATTTTGTATTTGGATTGTTTGTTGCTAATATATAGAAATACAGTTGATGTTTTTATTTAATTTTATATCCTGCAAACTTGCAATTCTCATTTCTTAGTTCTGGAGGTTTTTTGTTGATTCAAAATATTTGTTTTTAATTGAAAGTGGATTTTTAATTTTTTCAAGTTTTTTCATATTTGAATGAGTCCATTGGGGAATAGGTTTTTTTTTTTTCTTAAAAGACAATATGGATTATTAATGGAAGAGGATAAACAATTAATTTGATGACACTGGCATGTTCAGTCATTTTATGTTGATTTTTAAAATGTTGAAAAAGGTTATTGGGAAACTTTAGTTGGATGTTACAAAATATTTAAATGGATAGACAAAAATATAAGAAAAAATGCTTCATGACATATGAGTATTAGAACGAATGAATGCGTTCAAAAGAGGGTTAATTGTGCAGGTGTTAACAAAAATCAGTTACAAGGTATAGGAAGTAAAAATGTATGCTGCAGAACAGTGTTTATACTATGTTCTAAGTATATATAAATCTACTATAAATGCACTAAAATTGGTAAAGAAATCATTTGAACAGTGGTGATCACATCTGAAAGGGTATATAAACAATGAACAATGATTATGCATGGGAAGGCTGGAGATTAGGAAGTTGGAAACTTTTTCTAACTGCATGTGATTATTATTTTTTAAATATTAAGAATATTAATGGTTTTATAATAAGTTTTAAAAATTAGAGAAATAAGAAACAAGGTAGTATTTATGCTTGAGTGTCTTAACCTGGGCCCTAAAGGAAGAATTTTATTTAACTAGTCTAGTTTTATGGTATGGGATAATCAAAGGTAGGGACATACATGACCCTTTTAAGGACAGTCAAAATGACTGAGGTTCATTTAAGGAATTAATGGAAGTTATGCATGTGTGTTGAGGGGGAGGATGGTGAGCATTGAAAAGAACCTTGAATGACATGCCAAGGAGTTTGGACTTCTTAATGAATGCAGTGAAGATCTATTGAAGTTATTTGAGTAGGAAAATTAGAGTGGTTCTTTCATAGTTGGTGCTCTGTGAATATATGGTATTGACAAAGTGTTTTAAAAGATATTAATTCAATATTTTGCTAGCAGCTTAATAAGGGTTAGGAGACAGATGAAGGCAGAAGATCAGTTACTATAGGCCAAAAATGATGTGATTAAGGTTGATACAGGCAGACAGTCAGTAGCAGAGAAGAAAGGAGACAGCAGAGGACAGACATTTAGTAAAAGCCATCGAGGTAGACACTTTGTATGTTTTATTCCTTTGTTTCTTCACCATATATATATTGAGCACCTGATACGTGAGAGGGATTGTTCTGGACTCAATGATAAATAATATGACCATAGGTCCTGCTTTTAGGAAGTTCAGTGGAAAGGTTCAGGAAATAAACACATAAGAAAAAAAAAACTTTGAAAAAACAAAATAAAACAACCATAGAATGCCAGATAATGTTAATTTCTAAAGAAAAGAAAAGAAAGTGGTAACGTAGGACAAGAGTGGTAAAGATTTGGGCTACTTTAGCTATGGTGGATAGGGAAGGACTTTCTGAAAAATATTTTATTTATTCTTTATTGTGTTCTTTGACTTGGAAAGATATTATTCTTATTTCACAGAAGAACATGAAATATAATGAGTTTTAGAACTTATCCAATATCAGATGTCTAGTCATTCATCTTACTATCAGATAAAGTAAACTTCAGAGCAAAGAAAATTATCAGAGGCAGGGAAGGACATTATATAGTGATAATCAGTTTAAACCACCTGGAAGACATAGTAATTTTAAATGTGAATGCACGAAACAGAACTATAAAATACATGAAGCAAAAACTGATACAACTGAAATGAAAAATAGAGAAATATATGATTATAGTTGTAGACATCAAACTCCCTTTTTCAGCCATTAGAGCAACTAGAGAGAAAATCAGGAAAGATATAGGAAAAATAGCAATCCCATCGACCAAAAGAATTTAAATGATATTTTCATGGAATACTTTAGCCAACAGCAATACAATACACATTCTTTTCAAGTGCCCATCGAATCATATATAGGCCAGATTCTGTTTCATAAAACAAACCTCAACAATTTAAAAGAATTTAAATCATACAGAGAGTGTTCTCTGACCACAAAAAGATAAGCGGAAAATCTCCAAACACTTGGAAAATAAACACCACACTTTTAACAAATACATAGGTCAAAATGTATTCTCAAAGAACATTAAAAATACATTACCTGAATTAAAATAAAAATAGCAGATAACATAATTTGTGGGACACGGCTAAAGCGATGCTAAGAGGAATTATAGCACTAAAATGCATATTTTGAAAAAGAGGAGAAACCTTCAATTAGTGGTTTAAGATTCCCCCATAAAAACTTAGAAAAACAAGAGCTAAATAAACCCAAAGCAAGCAGAAAGATGGAAATGATAAACATAATAGATATTAGTGAAATCATAAACATAAATCTTGACAAATTAGTAAAATGATCTGTTTCTTTGAAAAGATAGTAAAATTGACAAACCTAGCAAGACAGAAAAAGAAAGAGGAAACCAGTTACCAATATCAGGAACAAAACAAAGGATATCACTACAGACCTATAGACATCAAAACGATAACAGAATAGTACAATAATGCTACATGCATAAACTTGACACTTTACCTGAATGGATCACTTTTACAAAATAATAAACTATCAAAACTCACCCACCATGAAATAGATAATTTAAATAGCCTTATAACTATTAAGGCAATTAAGTTTATAATTTAAAAACTTCTACAAAAGCAATCTTCAGTCCCAGATTGCTTCACTGGAGAATTCTCCCAAACATTTAAAAAAGAATTAACACCAATTCTATACAATTTCTTTTAGAAAATAAGAAGAAACACTTCCCAATTTATTTTTGGAAACTGATATTACATTGATACCAAAGCCAAAGTACAAAAAGAGAAAACTACAGACCAATATCCCCCATGAATATAAGCACAAAAAATCCTTAGCAAAATATTAGAAAATAGAATTAAAAAATATGTAAAAAGAATCATAGCGTGAGCAAGTGGGGCTCATTCCAGGGATACAAAGCTGTTTCAGTATTTGAAAATCATATCAAATATATATCAACTAGTGGATAAAAAGCATTTGACAAAATTCACCATCCATTCATGATAAAAAAAAATACCTCAAAAAATAAGTAAAAAAGGTAACTTCCTCCTTATGAAAAATCTCCATGAAACCTACAACTGACATGTTTAATGATGAAAGATTGAATGCTTTCTCTTCAAGACTAGGAACAAAGCAAGGATGCCACTGTCATTTCTCTTGTCAACATAATGCTGGAAAGTCTTGCTAGTGCAATAAGGCAAGAAAAGAAAATGAAAGACATACAGTTGGAAAAAAGAAATAAAGCTCTGTTTGCTGATGAAATAATCACCTATGTTGAAAATCCCAAAGAATATATCCAAAAAATCTCTTAGAACTAAAAAATGAGCTTAGCAAGGCCACAGGATGTCAGGTAAACATACAAAAATCAATCATATTTCCGTATACTGTAGTGAACATATGGACACCAAAATTAAAATATATTATTTGCAATCACTCAAAAATTAAATACTTAGGGGTAAATCTAACAAAACATGTTCACAACTTGTTGCTGAATACTATAAGACACTGATGAAAAAACCTAAATATCTGAATAAAATGAAAGACATATATGTGAAATAACTCAGCAAAATAAAGGTCTCAATTCTCCCCAAATGATAGACAGGTTTAATGCAATTTCTATCAGAAACCTGCAAGATATTTTGTAGATATAGATAAAATTATTCTGAACTTTTTATGACAAAGTAAAGAAACTGGAATGGCTAAAATAACAAAAACAATAAGGTATAAAGAATCAGTTACTTGATTTTGAGACCTATAGAGGCTACAGTAATCAAGATTGTGTGGTATTGGTGAGGCATAGACACAAAAATTAATAGAACAGAGCAGAAAACCTAAAATTGGTCCATACACTATGTCTCGCTGAATTTTGAAAAAGTAGTAAAAGTAACAATCAAAAAAAAAAAAAACATAGCCTTTTCAATAAATGTTGCTGAAGCAATTGAGCATCCAAACACACACACACACACACACACACACACACACACACACTCACACACACTCACACACACTCACACACACACACAAACCTCAACCTAAGGAAATCATTGGGATCTAGGATTAGGTAAACAATTCTTAGATTTGACAGCAAAAGCTCAGTCTTTAAAAGAAAAAAATGGTAAAGTGAACTTCAACAATTTTTTAAATTGCTTTGTGAAAGACCCTGATAAGAGAAAAAAAGAGATAATCTATAGAGTTGGAGAAAGTATTTAGAAATGCATATTTCAAATTGGTAATAGTTAATTTGGTGGAAATTTGAGTAGGATTTTTATTCTTGTTTTTGCCCTTTTCTAAAATTTCTATAATGTTATTATAATTATAAATTTTATTTTAAATTATTTAATGGTTCTTTTAAAACTTGAGAATTTACTGTAGTGTGTTCCAAAAATGTTTACCTGGCTAGCGTGGGGAGTTTCACATGGATTCTCACCATTTTATGTGACTATTAAAGTGAATAAATTATGGATATAATGTGCTTCTGACAGAATAAAAAGGTCAGAACTATATGGGTGTCTTCTATTTAAAATAAAGTGTGGGATTAGTATGATTTATATTATTCAAAAATGTTTAGAAAATATATGTCAAATTAGGAAATTCTAATGTAAAAAATGACAAATGGAATACAAAAAGACTTTAGAGACCAGATTCATATAGAAGAAATTAAAACATGGGAATAGGAAATAAATAAAAAAATAAATAAGTATAAATGTATTTAAAATGCAGTTAACTGGGAATCTCTTTGTGTAATTATATACAATATGAATAGAATATAGTTTTAGAATTTGTTTTCTAAACTGCTTTTCCTGTTAGATCACAAAATGTTTTCTTCTATATGAGTCATATTATAAAAGTTCTTGTTGTTTTTTTGAGATGCTTCATCATGTTTTATACCACCGTTAGCAATAGTCCCATTTTCATTCCATGGTTACAGTTGCAAGTGGTAGAGTATAAATATTTCATTAGTCTACCACCTATTTTGTTGATTGTTCTTTGTCAGACTTTTATAGTAATACTTTAATTTTTTTTGATTGGAAATATTATGCTCATTGTCTTTTATAGTTAATTTATTGATTTCTTAATTTTACATTAAGTTTGGATAAATTGCTTAGTGAATTGTTTTAGACCACTTTTTTTGAGTATCAAATACTCAAAGGTATCTGTTCTTTGTAAACCGTAAAACACTATATCATTTTAAGTATTATGAAATTGTAGCAGATAACATTGGATTTTTGAAATGTTTTAGCTACCGTTCTAAGTGTTTTACAAATATTCCTTCACAACAACCAGATGAGGTAGTATCATTGTTTTCTCTGTTTTACAGATGATGAACAGGGGACAGATAGGATACTTGCTAGCAAGTAGTGGAACTGGGATTTAAACACAGGCCATCATTCCTCTAGTGAAGGAAATGCATTATTTGCCCTTTAGAAAGAGGACATTTCCTTTTGTCCTCAGATATCAAATTGTTATGGCATTTGTACAAGTTTACAGTGATATCTTCATTGGCATTTTATAGGATGATTGTTTTAGGACATCAGAAAGCTTTAGTGCTGTTTAGAGGTTAATCTTTTTGTGGTAGAGACACTAACCCTGTCCATAGGTGATGATTATTCTGTTTATCTCTTTAAAGAGAAGGAATTATTCATGCCTTGGTGGAAAGCAGGTCTCTTGCTGTAAACAGTAGTGTGAACTTAATGGCTCTCTGCTGGTGAGAGTTATAGCATCTGACCAGGACTACTTAAGCTTAGTTATATAAATTCCCTCCTATATTCTTTTCTCTTCTTTTTTATGCACTCAACCGCCCTGCCCTTGAGCTACTGTAGGAAAAATAACTCCCTTCTAACCTTCTGAGTTCTTTACTAAGACCCATGTAATAAACAGATTAACAAGAGAAAAACAAACAAATTTATTAACAATTATATCTGATACATACATAGGAGATGCCCAGGGAAAAATGAATGACCGCCCAGGTGGCTTAAGGAAAGGGGAGGGAATACGATTTTTAGGAAAGGTGAATGATTGATCCTTAGAGAAGTAGATGAGAGTTTGTGACAAAATTCATCTGGATTTAGTGTTCTGTCCTAAACTCCTCTCCTAATGTTTTTCTAATTTACTTTCCTTTGATAAGAGTTTGTCATACCTGGTTGATGAAACACCTGGAGAGGGATTTACGACAATTGAATGCCTTTTGGAGGACCTGCCGTTAGGCAGATAGGGAAGTTCAGAGAAAAACCTCTCCATGCTTTTGTTGTTTTTCAAGTGTATATCACTCAAAATAATCAATATGTCAAAGGTGCATATTTTGGGGTGGCATGTCTTGAACTCCTACAATCATATTTTGGAGTGGCATGAAGGAGCACTAATTTGCAAGGCTTTGTGATTTTTTTTTTTTTTTCCCTAGCAATACATAGCTGATTGAATGTATAGGCAGAAAAAGTGTATATTTTTAACGTGATGGATTTGGTCATTTTCAGGGTAGGTGTCTTACAAGCAATACAAATTTTAGGCTTTTAATGCATAATTCTTACATTCAAAATACAAGTAAAGTGGCTTTATTTCTAACTGCTCAAATGATCAATAGGCTATAGGGAGCCTGTGATCCAAGTCTAAACAGTTGCTTGAACAGAGATCTTAGAGATAATTTCTTTAAAGGCAATATAGAATGTCTTTCTCCAGGGCAATGTGTTGTTTTCCAATAAAAGTGTCCAACATTCTACATAAGCTGAAACAGGGGTTTGAACTACTGTTAATTATTTCTATGAATCCAACATTGTCAGTTTACTTGATGGAGATCCACAGAATACTTTTAGAGTTTCTTTGGAGACCTACTTAGAACACTACTTCTCAGATGTCAGCATGATTATGGTCAAAATTTTATACCCATGATATCAGATTGGGAGAAGAATCTAGAATGGAGAGAGTTATCATCATGGATCTTGCATTTTGTGTAGAGAATTAAAATTATTTGATGCTACTAATTCTTGATCTTCTGATCTAATGAAATAGATACGAAATGTATTTATTATTTAACTACTGTGCCTTTAGGATACCTGTGAACATTTTAATAGTCTATACCATTAGATTACCAAGTTTAAAATGTCTTTGGGAAATACTCTCATGAAATATAAATATCAAATATATTTTCTTTATACAGGGATCAACCTATGAGGATGAAATTAATAATATCAAATATGTTATTTCAAAAATTAATGACATTCTGGCTCATAATTCACCAGTTTTGATTGTTCAAAGGTGGACACGTGGTTTCCTAGTAAGAAAGAGTTTGAGGTATGTTTTACTTTATTATTTGAATATTAAAGATGATAAGCAAATCAATGATAAAAAGGCAATTCTCCAATAATAAACATTTTGCATTCCCTATCAAGATGGTATCTTATAGACTATTCAAACTAGTTTTAAGGAAGACACTGAAACTCTATGGTAATATAGTCTTTAACATAATACAAATTTGATACTTTTTTTCTTTTAAATTGACAATATAAATAACTAATCAGTAAAGTTTTTGTTAATCATTCTTTGAGTAATTCTGAGTTTTTTTTATTAAAAACTTAAAAATATCAGTCAAAAACATATTGAATTTCTCTCATGTGATGAGAAGTAATAGAAATATAAGCCATATACTATATAATGGGATACAATAGAAATACAAACCTAGAAACATATATATGAGGATTTCATAATTTGTTTGGATGCGAAGATCATTTTGGTGAAACATCTAGTACAGTATCAATCTACATTATATTTTGCTCTCTCTTTGTTCTTTGTATTCCTTTCCAGCAGCTGACATCGGCTAATAGAGGAAAATTTTTCTTGATACACTCTCTCAACATTGAACTTGGGGATATGAGATAGAACACTCTGTCATTAATTTATTTGTATTAGTCATGCCAAACATCAAACATATGAAAAATATTTTCACATAGCTTGTTTTCAGGTGCTAGAAGATGGAAATGAAATTAGGTCCTGAAATATAGGTAGGATTAAAATAAATCTAGAGCTGGGAAATGGACAACCCCTGAGAAAACCAGTTTAGGAAGTTTCACCGAAATGATAGTCAACATTCTGTGATGAGCAGAAAGAATGTTCTGCATTAACCTGCATGGGCTAAATCATAAATGGCAGTAGCTCTGATAAAAATAGGCAAGAATGATGGCCAAGGAGTCAAACTGACCATAATACAGTTGCCTGCAACTTCTGTGAAAGAGGTTTGATATACTTTTTAAAGAAAGGTCAAAGCGTGAGAGAAAATGGGCTCACAAGTGGGGACAAGTAAAATTATTTAGAATAAAAGAAGTGGAAAAGATAAGGTAGTTGCTGACAAGTATATATTTATTTAAAATATGGTTTCTGACTCATGTTTCTTTAAATTGGTGTGCATTTTATATGAAATGAACTTCTAGTTAAAGGGACTTGTCTTTAGTTTATTCCCCTAGGATTGAGTTTTTCTCTCTTAGAATCAAGATATTCATTTACCATGAGATAAAAACCTTGTGCATGTAAACAGTCTCTGAAAATTCAGCATGCATGAACAGAATTTGAACGAGCTTTATAGGGAGAGATGTCAATAATAATAACATACAGAGTGGTTCAAGACAGACCGATTTGAATTCTTTTTCTCTTTAAAATGCTGTTCTATTAGGCAGGAACTACTCTGAACCTGAGTTTCCTCATATGTTAGATGGTAGAAAGCAGGGGCTAATAGCAGTACTTATTTCACTGTTAGCTTGTGGGAATTGAGATCATGAATATAAACACTTAACACCTGGCATATGTGGATATTACATTCTTAGTAGCTAATGTTTTTTAAACATCATCTTTGTTGTTGTTATATCTTATGCTCTCTGCATTATTTGACTGGGGTGGGTGGGGGGGGCGGTGTTCCTTGGATTTCTTGTTCCCTGTCAGTTACGTTTACCATAACATGCAAAGAGTAATCTTTTCAAAATATAAATCTAATTATATTCACCAACTTAAAACCCTAGAGTTGCTTACAATTTGCTTAGGGTAAATGACTGGGATATTTACACATGGATGTTCCAGCATCATTTGTTGAAGACTATTTGCTCTATTGTGTTGCCTTTGCAATTTTGTCAAAAATCGATTGACTATATTTATGTTTATTTCCTGAGTTCTCTATGTTATTCCATTGATCTATTTATTTGTTCTTTTGCTTATTTGTTCTTTTGCACATACCATACTATCTTGATGACTGTTGCTTTAGAGTAATCTTGAAGTTAGGTAGTGTCAGTTTTCCAACTTTGTTCTCGAGAACTTCAGTATTGTGGTGGGGATTCTTTTTCTTTCTCATTTTTTTTGTCTCAATAGAAACTTTAGACTCAGCTTGTTGAGATCTACAAAATAACTTGGTGGGATTTTGATTGGATCACATGGAATCTATAGATAAGTTGGGAGGAACTGACATCTCATCAATATTGAATCTTCCTGTTCATGAACATGGAATCTCTGTTGTTTATTTAGTTCTTTGATTTCATTCATCAGTTTCATCTGTAGTTTTCTTTAAATAGATCTTAAATATACTTCTGTTAAATTTGTTCCTAAATATTTCATTTTGTGGAGTGCTGATGTAAATGATATTGATCACATGAACGAGTTAAAAATAGTCTTCTATATTACACAACTTTGTATTAATATACAATACAAGGTTGTATATTAACCTTGTATCTTGCAACCATGCTATAATTGCTTATTAGCGCCAAGAGTTTTTGTCAGTTCTTTTGGATTTTCAGTGTAAACAGTCTACATAGACAAAGGCAATTTGTTCTTTCTCCCCAACCCATATACTTTAAATTTTTTTCTTTTCTTGCAGCATTAGCTAAAACTTCCAGTACAATGGTGAAAGAAAGTGGCGAGAGTGGGCTTTCTAGCCTTCAACCTCATCTTAGTTGGAAAGCTTCTAGTTTTTCACCATTAAGTATGATGTTAGCTATAGATTTTTTGGTAGTTATCCTTTATAGAGTTGAGAAAGTTCTCTATTCCTAGGGTTCTGAGAGTTCTTATTATGAATAGGTGTTGGATTTTTTCAAATGTTTTTTTCTGAGTTTATTGATTTGATCATGTAATATATTTTTTCTTTTTTAGCCTATCGATGTGGTGGAATAGATTTATTCATTTTTGAATGCTTAACCTGTCTTGAATACCAGGGATAAATCCCTTTTGGTAGTGGTGGTGTATGATTCTTTTTATATATTGTTGGGTTTGATTTACTAATATTTTGTTCAGAATTTGTGTATCTGTGTCCTGTGGTCTATAGTTTTCTTTTCTTGTAATGTCTTTGGTTGTCATATTAGTGTAGCTGGCATCATAGAATGAGTTAGAAAGTATTCCTTCTGCTCTTATTCTCTGAAAGACATTGTAGAGAATTCATATAATTTGTTCTTTAAATTTTAGAATTCACCAGCGAGGTCTTCTGGGCCAGGTGCTTTATATTTTGGAAGGTTATTGATTCAATTTGTTTAATAAATATAGACCTATTCAGATTGTCTATTTCTAATTTTGTAAGTTGTGGTAGATTGTGTCTTTCGAGGAATTTGTCCATTTCATCTAGTTTATCAAACTTGTGGTTATAGAGTTGTTCCTACTCTTACTTCATTATCTTTTTACTATTAATATGATTGGTAGTGTTGTCTCTTCTTTCATTTTTGATATTAATAATTTGTGTTCTCTTTTTTAGTTAGTTAACCTGGCTAGTGACTTATCAACTTTATTGATCTTAAAGAACTAGCTTTTGGTTTTATGGATTTTCTCTATTGATTTCCTGTTTTCAATTTTATTGATTTCTGCTCTAATTTTTATTATTGCTTTTCTTCTCCTTACTGTGATTTGCTCTTCTTTTTTTCCCTGATAATTTGCTCTTCTTTTTTTCCCTGATTTTCTGAAGTGGAGGCTGAGATTATTGCTTTTAGATCTTCTTTTGTAATATATTCATTCAGAGTTATAAATTTCCCTCTAAGCACTGCTTTTGCTGCATCCCACAAATTTTGATAAGTTGTGTTTTTATTTGTAATTAATTCAAGATATTTTAAAATTTCTCCTGAAATTTCTTCTTCAACCCATACATTACTTAAAAGTGTGTTGTTTAATCTCCATGTATTTTGAGATCACCAGCTATGTTTCTTTTATTGATGTCTAGTTTCATTCTATTGTGTTCTAAACAACATTGTAATTTCTACTCTTTTAAGTTTGGTAAGGTTTGTTTTATGACCCAGAATGTGGTAGGCTTTGGTGAATGTTTCATGTGAGCCTAAGGTGAATGCATATTATACTATTTTTGGATGAAGTTGTCCACAGATGTAAATTATATCCAGTTGACTGATGGTACTGTGTTGTTCAACTATATCCTTACTGATTGTCTGACTGTTGGATCTGTCTATTTCTGATAGAGGGGTGTTTAAGTCTCCAACCATGATAGTGAGCTCATCTGTTTCCCTTTGCAATTCTATTAGTTTTTGCCTTAGTTACTTTCATGCTCTGTCATTAGGCACTTACACTTTAAGGGCTGTTAAATCTTGTTGGAAAATTGAGCTCTTAATTATTATGTAATACCCCTTTTTATCCCTGATAACATTCCTTGTTTTGATGTCATCTGTATTTCAAATGAATATAGCAACTCCTGCTTTCTTCTGATTAATGTAAATATGGTATAAATTTCTCAATCACTCTACTTTTAATATCTTTACATTTTAAATGGATTTCTTAAAGATAGCATACAGTGGCACCTTTTTTTTTTAAAACCACTGTAATAATCTCTGTCTTTAAATTCCTGCATTTAGACAATTGGCATTTATAGTGGTTATTTATGTAACTGGTTAATATCTGCCATATTACTGTTTTCTATTTGTTGTCACTGTTCTTTTTCTTATTTTGTCTTCCATCTTTTCCTGTCTTTTCTGGTACCTTATAATAACAAAACAGTCTTGATTTGTCTCTCCTGTCCCTTGTATCATTGCTTTCATTCATCTGACTTAAATATAAGCATACATTAGCTTATGTATAAAAATAATGTATATAGAATTGAATATATTGGTGGTATTATTTTGAACAAACTATTACCCGTTAGAGTTTGTAAGAATGTTTTAACTTCACTTATTCCTTCTTTTATACTCTTCCTTACCTATTGTAAGTCCGCAATAATGGCCTATATTATTTTCCTTCTCTCTAAATAACTTCTTTAACTTTAACATTTCTTGCAAGGCGGTAGTGGCAACAAATTCCCTCAGTTTCTGTTTGAGAACATCTTTATTTCTCCT